TTCAACAATTTTCCAGCCTTCACTACTGCTTATTTATAGAATAGTTCTTTCTAATTTTAAATCTCTTCCTCTGATTAATCTTAAGGTATAGTTCCTTCTTCTATCATCTTTTAAATATCTTCTTTGCTTTTCCTTCTTAGATTCTTCTATTCTTCTTCATACAAATGCTACTTCATTATTTACTCTCCAATTCTATTTGCCAAACGAGTAACTCTTATTTAGTAACAATTCAACGTTGTTTTCTCTTCATGAAATAAAACTGCTGCTTCAATGAATTCCTTCATCAATTCAGATAAGGCAATAATTGCTAATTTTTCACTCTAAATTGCTGTAATATATTGATGATATCCTTGTTGTTCTTTATTAGGATCACTAAAGCATTGGATTTACTCCTACTAAACTAAAGCACATAACTTAGGAAACCATTCAACAATATATTTCTAAGCAGCAAACAAATGTTATGCCTTAGACATTCTCTATAAATCATCAAAAACCTACTAGAATTTGTCAAGTGCCAATTCATTAGATACCTATTCAATAATTAATTATCTTTCAAATAGATTTCTTGGATTCTCATTATCTGGATGTTTAATACCATTAAGTGGCAACTTATATTATTTACCTATATTGAATAAGGATTTCCTAAGATTCTCATTCAATAGATCAACATCTTAAGTAATTTCAATTTCTCTCTAAATAATATTAAATGTTAATGGATGTATGTCTCCAGTCAAAAAACCAATGTTTAATTTGTCTGCAAAATCAACTATTAAGATCACCATTTCATAAATCTATTCAGCAATTGATTATGAATCTTGACCCTAAAAAATAGTGCCTTTTATTAATTAAGGGTTCTTGAGCACTTCCTCTATTTTAGGTATTATTCGCTTGTAGTTTTCTTGAAGAGGAAAGAAATTATTGGTAATTATATTGCAACTTTGTTCTATGAGTTCATGTGGTAATTGATTGATAATTTTACATGATTCTGATACTTCTAAGAGTTAGGATTTCTATCTGTAAACTTAAGGAAATGATGTTGTTGTAGATGTTGAAATAGAGGCTCTGCAAAAAGTATTTCTTAAGGCTCTAATTATAATCATAATTAAATATGAATTTATTTAACAGGTTTAAAACATTCATTAAACAGAACAAATAGTAAATTTAATTATACTCTTCAATTTTGCAATTAGAAATCATTATAAATTAGAATAAGAATAGATGATAACTATTCTTATTTGTATTTAATAAATAATTTATGCAAAAACAGTAAGCTCTTGCTGTTGTTCGTATTCCTTCTGGGATTACAAAATAGCCATTTAAATCAACTAGCATCACTAACTAAGCACCTCTTCAAAGAGTCAACTCTGCAGGATTTATGAATGCAAGCAGACAATCTTATTAATATTAGAAACCTGCTACACCATTCTACTAGACCCATAATTATAGGTAGGATTGGAAAAATTATATACACTCATTCCCTCGAATACCAAGAATCAAAATTTTGGCTCCAGGTACTGGTTATGATGCAAAAATGATTAAATGATATTAATGTATTAATATTATAATAATTCACATATGTTTTTCAAATTATACTATAATGAGATTTGATTTTCAATTAATTGTGTTTATTTAACAAATATTGTTTAATTTTATCATTAATTTTATTTATCTAGTAAATGGGAAACAATAATGTCTGCTTAGGAGAAATGTAAAACAATCCAACTCGTTAAGGATCTCCAGAAACAAAATGGAAAAGAGAAGATCTCAAATCAGGTTCTTGTGTCTAATCTTTAATGGATAAGGAAAATGCTAACTTTTTTAAGATGGTATAATGTGGACCTGCAATACCTCATTATAAGAATGAACATTCAAATTAAAGATGGGCTAAAGCTATTGCCACTTTAAATAATACTGATGATATCTAAACAACAATTAATTTCTTATGCAATAAACCTGAATTTGAAGAACTAGTACTTCTGGGACCACCAAAATAATATAGATGGGAAACTTGGAAAGCTCTTCTTACTAATGGTTAGATTCAATTATCATATGAAAAATATTTGGAATATAAACCTATTGATGAGAAAAATATATTAAAAGATATAGACAGAACTTTGGTCTAACATTCTCTTTTTAAACATGAGAGTTGTGGTCAAGAATAACTTAAAAGAATTCTATTTGCCATATCAAATGCATTACCAGGAGTTGGTTATTGTTAAGGAATGAATTTTGTATGTGCTTTAGCTTTGATTGTATCTGGTTGTGATGAACATAAGACCTTTTAATGTTTTATGTAAATGTTAACTAATGAGAAACATTTGCTTTGCTTTAATTTTTGTCATGATATGCCACTACATTTCTTTTTTATTAAATTGATACATTATCTAATTCGTAGAAAATTTCCAAAACTAAATCTTAAAAATGTGAATGATTCACTTTGGATCAGCAAAATGATTTTATCGCTTTTTATATATGTATTTAAATTAGATGATTGTATTCGATGTTGGGATTATCTTATGGTTAGAGGAATGATTCGTGGGATTCCTGAATTAATATTAGGTTTCATTGATGTTACATAAAAATAATTAGAATAGTTTAAAGAAGAGGATTATGGTTTTAATTTTTAAGGTTATGAAAGTAGCACAATATAATTCAATGTAGGTGAATTGATATATGCAGCAAAATAAAAACATAATATTGATAGATAATTGATTTCAAGATTAGCAATTTAAATGAAAAGAAATAAACCATCTTAATTATTAGATTTACTGTCTCATTTCGAAAATATATAAACATACAAAAAACATGTTTAATTTTATATGAAGACTATATTTGATTTATACTGATATTATATTTATTATATTATGATTTCAATTGATCTACTTTTCATTCAAGTTTCTAACAAATTATACTGGATTGCCTGCCCATAATTATCCTGAAGGAATCAATCTTCCTGGAGGCACAACACTATCTTCAGCTATCTATGAACCTCTTTCAATTTGAGCACCATCAAGTATGAGTGTTCTAGATCCAATTGTAACATTGTCATCAATTATTGAATTATTAATAATGCAACTATCTCCAATGGTAACATTTTAACCTAAAAGATAAAAATTAAAACAAAATATATACCAATTGTTACACTTGCCAATACATTTGTAGGAAGTCGAGTTCTAGAACATTGGATTGATGTATTATCTCCAACCACACTATTTGAACCTATTCTAATGGCTTGATCATCTGCTCTTAAGATAGCTCCATATCCAATTTATACATTCTCTCCAAGGTTCACTTACCCAATCAAACTTGCATTATCTTGTATGTTGGCTGATTCACTTATTCTAGGTTTGTAGTATCCAAATAATGGCATAATCTTTCTATGTCTTGATAATGGCTCTAACCAAGCAATGTCATTGGATAAACGAGACCCATATTGATCAAAATCTATACAGTTTACACATATGCTCACTTACACAACCCAGTCTCTTTAAAAGCACGACCCATCAAGTATCTGAATTCGTAGTAGATGGCACCTAAATATTTTTGCATTATTTTTATTAATGTAAAATATAAATGAAAAAATAAATATATTCTTAATATGAAATCTTTAAATAATCATATTTTTGGATGGGGTATGTGCACCTTTGATGGAACCTTTACCATCAATTACTTGAAATGTCCAACCTTGGCTTCCCTTGTTGACTTACCAACACTAAATGATGGATATGACTTTTTCTTAGAATTCACTTGCACTCCTACAGCAACCCTTTTTATCTCATTAAGATTACTGTTTTGTATCATATGTTTAATTCTTATCCCATCCTTCAAAGATCTTTCCTAATTTTGGTCCTTTTGGCAATGTCCAATGAGGAGCATCCTCTAAATTGCTTGTATTTGCAGGAGGCTTCTACAAATATGCACCTGGCCCCACTATCACTGGAGTTGAACAAGTTGGAGCCAAGGCTGATGCCCCTGGTATGTCTCTCCTATATCCAAATGAATATTGTGCAGGAGTAGGTACTTCTGGTTTAATAGCTGGGTCATATTAAGGGCCAGGAGTTCCCTTTAATCTTTTTTCAGGAGGGAACTTAATAGATTTAGAATCATACTCTAGATTCTAATCCAATCTTAACGTTTGGATGCTTGGGTTTTCTAATCAGATCTGCTTCTTAAGGTTCAAACTATCATTATTATAGTTAAAGTTTACATCCACATCCTTCCTTTAATAGTAATCAAATTTGGCTCCTGTGTTTAAAGTATTACGTGCATCAGTTCCGAATTTAGTATTTGCATCTTAAGTATAATAAAAATGATCTCCTCCTCGTACATTATACACAGGTCCAGGACTAGCCTTACCTTTAATCATATTAATAATTCTCTTACCAGCAAAATCTATTCTTGCAAGTTCTTTGTTATGATAAAGTTTAGCTTGATTAGCACGTTCAGCTGAGCCAAAACTAAAACTAGGTAATGTTTATTTAGTTGATAGTGGCATCTTTCCTATTGAACTAAAGGCTTGCTTATTTTCGAATTCAATTAAATCTGCATAAGCATAAACTTTAGGTTAAGCTTTAACTTCCTCTTTCGTTTCAGCCATTTAAATTAATATTATAAATATAAATAATCTCTAAAGAAGTCTGACACTTCCATTACCATAAAATCATGCTACCATATTAAAGAATCTGTTTGTTTTGCAAATGATTACATATTCATTTGTAAAAAAGTACTTTTCAAAAATATATATAATAAAATGTCAGAGAAATAAATAATAAACATTTTTTTGCATAAAATTCATTTACTAAAGAAATCTGTATTGAATTGGATTGAAAAATATTATCAAATTATTTTAATCATTCATCCTGATCATAAAATACGACGATTTAATGGTATATTCCAAGGAAAATTAAAAAAATATATGATTATATTATGTGATTAGAAAATAATAATGACATCATTAATAAGAAAAGTTAACAATTCAAAAATTGAAATCTTTCTTAACTCCCATATATGATGTTGTTGGCAAGAATAAAATTATGAGACCTTTTTTTAATACTCTTAGGACTCTTAGATCAATATAATATAACGAATATACTTTAATCATTGGAACACATCTGTTGAAGTGTTCTATACATCTTCATTTTATACAAAAAAATCTGGGACTCCAATTGCATCAAATACTAATCCACATAATTTCACATTATATTAATCTAATTAGCCTAAGATGATATTAAATAATTACAATTGTAATTATATGGTCTAATTAAAACATCTTTTATTTTGTTTTCTTTTCTATAAGTCTGTTATTTTGAGTATATTGAATTTTCACATGTGATTTGTTCTGCCATTCAACCTTATTTAATTTTAATTTTTAATTATTTGATTACTGGACAAATATATATACCCAAAATTTCATAAATGGAATTAATCAATTTTTGTTACTAATTTATGTGATGGGTGTTCTAAATATAATTGATCTAAGAAATGGAAATGTAAAAAATGATCAATTTTAATAGAAAAGAGAATAAAGAGAAAAAAGAAGATAAATAAGAAAATTAATGTAAATAACATATAAACATATAAAATATAACATGAATAATAAAGACTATCATTTTGTTATTAACAGAAATTATTACTAATCTCCTCCTATTGACAGTATAAATACTTAAAAATTTATATATAAAAAATACTTGTCTAAGTAGGTGCTAAATTGTACATGTTTTAAAATGAAGATTCAAATTCTTCAAAATTATTCTATATTTATGCAAATATTAATTTAGGATTGACAGCATTAGCATTTCTTTAACGTAATAATTCACCCATCCTTTACATTTCTAATTTGATTTTAAGGTATAATTACTTTTTTCATCATTGATTTACTCTACATCTTCAAAACCCACATCATATTTTAATAAGAATTCTACTTCCTATTTTGTTTCCACTAAATGTATACCTCCTAATTTCTTAAGTTAAATTAAGACATCAGGAGTAGCAGTTTATTATTATGTAAATAAAGCACTTGGAAAATGATCTAAAATTTCAATTCTCAATTTAGCTAAAGACAATGCAATTTTAGCATCTTCATTTGAATCATGTGTATCCTAATAAATTTTAATAAAATTTTATATACTTTTTAAATACTTAAATTTAAATATTTATAAGCTAGATTTTTTAATGATAATTTTCTGTTACTTTCTGTCATATAAAGAACACTAGTATCTACACATTTATGATGAATAATCTATAAAGCATTTAAATCATTTTCTAAAGAATGACCTATTAAAATTGAATCTTCATCTAAAATAGATTTAACCATCTTTTATGCTTCTGTTAATGTAACAGTAACATTACTTAACATATCCTCAGTTATACCACTATATCTATATAATTGATTAATATTTTATAATACTTTGTGTTATAATCTAAGATTTTAGTTTATGGTTTTACTAATATATCAAGTACAACATTGTAATTATAATCTACTATAGAAACTCTTGCAAGTTCTAATCTATTTTCTGTTTACACCATTTCACAATCCATTGCAAATATATTCATTCTATTTGTTTACACTTCTCCATCTAATTTAACATAATCATGATATATTTTTTCATCTATTGGATAAAAATTTAATTTAAGTTATTCTCTATTTAATATAAAATTCCTATATTAATTGTAAATTAATTCTTCTTATAAAATACTCTATGAAATGAGTTATTATTATTATTGCTTTTATGTTTGAAATACTGGGTCTTCATGATATCTAGTATAAAATAATGATTGCCAAAAGTTTCCCTTCCCTTAATCTAATTCTTTAAAATATACAATCTTGTCTTTTTGACTAAAGGTGGATAAAAACTAAGATGATTCTAAATTTATTCCAAAATTTAAATTCATCACTACACCACATCTAATTAAATGTTTATTCTATTTTATTGAATTACAATCTTTACAGTCACAGTTAGCCATAATGGATTTACTTGATTTTTACAAAATAACCACATTAACAAATTTTATAGAGTTTTTAATTTGAAATACTTTTTTGGTGTTTCGTGATCAATCTTAATCTTAATATTTATTGTACCACACTTATATCAATTTTCTAAGGTAATCTTATTGGATTTGCTGCAGGTGTAACACACACTTTTTTTCCTGCAAATAATCAATAGAAATTACCTATATTCGGTTCATCTGTATTTGTATTTATATCCATTAAACAATTCAATTAAAATTATATATATATATAAAAATTTAATGAAAGAATATAAATTATAAAATAAATAAAAAATGATATTATAATCATTCAGTAATCTAAGATAATTAAAAAAATTAATAGTCATTATTAAATATTCTTAATTCACTTAGAGAATCAAATATATTTATCAAATTTTTTCAGTATATGAAATTTTATGTAAGTACCTTCTAACTGCGGGATTAAATATATGTGATTTCATCTTTCTGGAAATACATTTCATTATTATTCTATTAATAATATTTCATTATTTACTCCATAATTAAATCATAGTATTTAGTATTTTATGATTAAAACAAGTACTAATTTTCTTCTTTTAATTCAAATTTAAAGCTAAAATCTATTTAGATAAATACTTATAAACCATATATCCATTTTCTTTTTCAACCAAACTAAGTTAATCTAAATCAATTTAATTATCTTCATATTAATTATCATGATGAGATTTAAAAAAAAATGAATTATCTTGCTTTACAAAAGTAGGAAATTCCAATTTTGCTAATACACTCATATTTTCTGATCCAAATCGATATTTTTAGTAGAGCAATAAAGCATCTTTTTTAATTTAATACAAAATAATGCTAAAAGATGTAGAACATTTGTCTATTTGATCTTGAAAATTTAAGAAAATATCAAATGAGCCCTCTTTCCTCACATCATAAAATTCATCGTGAAAATTTTTATCTAATTGCATATAACATGAAAAGAGATAATCTTTAATTTCTTAAAGTTTATTTTCTTCGTATTTAACTCTATTTATTTATTGGAATTATTAAAGATAGTTTTATAATAACTATGAATATTCAATTATTTTACATTAACCCATCTTATTATTATCTTACAATTTTTTTAAATTTTAATTAATTTATTATAAACCTATATAGGTTTAGTAGTTATCATATCTAAACATTATTATATTTAAAAAAAATCAGCTTATTTATTTATTTTTGATAATTTTACAATTGGATTAATTACTGAATCTTCAAATAATTAATTAAATATTGTATATGGTATATACTTTTCATTTCCATTATTTATGTAATCTAAACAAAGATCTTCAGTGTTATTTTCATTTTATTTTATAATAAAATATTCCAAAAAATGGCTCTTTATGTCTTCATTTTTAACCATTTATCTGACCACATAAACTAAAGTCTCGTTTTTATCCTTTAATTTAATCAAATTTTATATTTCTTATTAATATAATTATCCTAATCTTTTTTAACTTTCCCAAAATTCTAAATTTTCTTTTGTTTTCTTATTCAATAAATCTTTATAATCAAATTCATTCAATTAAATATTGTTGAATTCTTTTATTAAAGGAACTTCTTTTTAATCCAATTCTATAATAATAATATTATCATTCTAAAATGATGATCATAATACTTATATTAGAGGTGCAACTTGAATAATGTCTTTTTATGGTAAGGAATCTAAGTTTTCCTATATTAATCTCTTTAAATTAATGAAACTATTAGTTTTCGATTGGATTTATTGAACTTCTTTCCTAAATTCAGGACCAAATATTTAAAACTGTGAAAATACTTTTTTCTACTCTAAAATACTTAAAGCAAAACTTAGGAAGTGATCTTTCTAATCCAAATTATATTCCCTTTCTCTGTTTTCTTGTTGCTTAATCAAATTATATGTTTAATTAACTATTTAATAATTAAAACTTTTTACATAAATCATAATGTTTTTAAAAACAAGATCTCGAAGCAATAGAAAAAGAATTAGTTTGTGATTCTAACTACTACATCATTTTAATAGCAATAAATATATAAAATAAATTAATTGTTAATATCATTTATAAATTCTTTTTATATTTAATTATAGATACATGAATGGTTGGTGTTTATTAATGAGTTTAAAAATATTAAAGAAACTATTAAATTAATATATGAATTTATTAAACATAATTATATGAATAAAAATTTAAAGAATTATTATTGATTAACTAATAGGAAAAAGTATATCTTGAATATTGGTTAACATAATATAAAATTAATTTAATAGAAAAGCACCATTAAGATTAATAGAATAATTGATGAAAGTTCAATTAATTGTTTATTTATATTTGCAATTATTATTAATCTTATTACTTTATTAATTTGACTTTTTATTTTTATTCCTCAAAATTGATAATAGTTTTTAAATAAGAGAAACAATAATAAATTTCAAATCTATTTCCAATATATTTTATATATTAAATTACAAATCTTAATTTTAAATTAAATATCGCTGAAAGTAATTGTAATAATACAAAAAGTATGAATGATATTAAATAATAAATAATCATTATATTTACTTTTAGTAGAATATCATGAGTAAGATTTATATCTTATATAACATTTTTGTTACCAAATATAATATATTTCAATTAATTTTACTGCTTTTCTTTGAAGTATTTAATATTCTTATAAGAATAAATACATATTTATTAATTTTTTTGTTTATAAGAATTTACCCTATAGGATTAAATATCAATAATATTATTTAAATATTTTAATATAAATAATGAGATTTGGAAGAGTTGGTGCAATATCTGCAATTACTAGGGCTAAAAGATCTGAGTAGTATTTGGCTGGGAAGTCTGATGATATAGAATTGACAGAGAAGTAGCTTAATCGTATTTTATGTTAATAACAAGATAGATGCAGAAAAAATAATGAGAAATATTTCAAAAGATTAAAAATCACTCATATTATATAGAGTTCCTGTATTGTAATTTAATAATCCAAATGACTTAGTATTTGGGGAATAGGAATATTGATAATATTATTATCGCTTTATTTGTTATACAATTTAATTTGGGGATTTGAAGGGAAGGTGTTTAAATAGGGAACCACTTGGTGGTAATACTTTGTATCTTTCATTATAATGGGAATAGGAATAAGTTTTTTAATTGCTATAAAGAGGGAGAAGTTAATATTCAATAAAGAAGTACAAAATAATATATACATAGAAAGATGAGATAATATTATGTTATAGGAATATTTGTTGTCAAAAGAATGTAATGGAATAGAAAATCTCACATCTAAGTAATATGAGAATGGTTAAGAGAGGGATGGATAGTAATAATATTATGGTTAATTGTTGTAGCAATACAGAATTCTACTTTGCATTATAAGATTGTGCTTTCTTTTAATGATGGATAATTCTTTGAAATATTGGAAGGGAAGAGTGAATACAAAATAAAGGGTTAATTTGTATAGATTGCTTAATATATCAATTATGCTTATTAAGATCTTTAAATTGTAGATGAAACATTTCAAGTGAGATGAATATATAATATACTTAATTTGTATTTATTAAATTCAATTTCTTATTAAAATGTATTGGAATCATGATCCAGAAGAGGAATTTGAGTTGTTAGAATTAATAGGTGAAGGAGCATATGCAACTGTATACAAAGGGAGACACAAAGAGGATGGATAGATAGTGGCAATTAAAATAATTCCTATGGTTGATGAGATTGAGAATTTAGTGTAGGAAATCAAAATTTTGAAAGTAAGATTTCTCTAATAAGGATTGTTAACATCCTAATATTGTGTCTTTTTTGGGATCTTATTATAAAGATAGTAATCTTTGGTTAATAATGGAATATTGTTAAGGAGGTTCTGTGTTAGGACTTATGGAAGTGATGGATAGAGGATTAAATTAGGAAGAGATTAGTGGTATTATGTATTCAACATTATTGGGAATTGAATATCTTCATTAAAATAAGAAAATACATAGAGATATAAAAGCAGGGAATATATTACTTGATCATAAGGGTTAAGTGAAATTGGCAGATTTTGGAGTTGCTGCTTAATTAACATATTCATGTGCAGATAAAGTACAATATATATATATTAAATAAAGGGAACATTTATAGGGACTCCATTTTGGATGAGTCCTGAAGTAATTAGTAAATCTCGTTATAATTAATTGACTGATATTTGGTCATTAGGTGTAACAGCAATAGAATTAGCAGAAGGTACTCCACCTTATTCTCATATTCATCCAGTTAGAGCAATGTTTGCAATTAAGAATAATCCACCAATGGGACTTACTAAACCTGAATAATGGTCTAAGGAATTTAATTAATTTGTTTAAGATTGTTTAAGAGTGGAAGTAAATGAAAGACCAACTGCATAATAATTATTATAATATACTTTTATTAAATAGGGAAAATAACATTTAAAAAAATTATTAAATTTAGTGGAACAATATTCAAAGTAATTATAGGAAGCAAGATTAAATAAATTACAAAAAAATGAGAATAGTTAATAATCAATAAAGGATTAAGTTCCATTAACTATAATATCTAATTGTGAATAGATAGATGATGATAATGAGATATCTAATGTTGATTATGGGACTCTTGTTATTAAGGATTAGATGATTTAAATAAAAGAGGAACCTGATTTCTTAAAATGGAATAAAATGGATTAATAAATAAGTGATCATTAAAAGAAGAAAGTAGAACATTAAAAAGAATTAAGTTTAGAAGCATAAATATAAAATATGAATTTAGAAGAGAGAAAGAGACTTAAAAATTAAATTGAATAATAGATGAATGAAGAATTAGAATAAATTAAAAAGAAATATTCTTCTAAATTAGATTTATTAAATATTAAGATTAAGGAAGAAGAGGATAAAAGAAAATAATAATATTAACCTTTAAATTTACCTTTTAGCTTTTAAGTCAGTTAAGAAGTATTGTAATAATTGGCTAATGTTAAGACTCCTTTAATAAAATCTCAATAAGTTAAATAAGTTAAACCTCCTCCATTTGAATTTATACCTAAATAGAAATTATGATTAAAAAATACCCGCTAAATATTCGTTATATATATAAAATTTATTATTAAAAATGGATTAAACTGTTGTTGATTAATTGTCTTTAGATGCCATACCTTACTACTAAGAATAATTGTACGGAGCACTCTCTATAGTATTGGAACTCTAAAATAAAATTGAAGCTGAAAATGAGATGACAGAAAATATTGTCGTTAAAATATAAGATGACAATAAAAATGAAATTTATCAACATGTTTTAGATTTTGATGAAAAAAACATAGATGATGTAATATAAGAGATGAATGAGAAATGTTTATCATAATTAGAAGAAATAGATTAAGAGACATGTAAATAAGATGAATAAATATTTACTATGAATTAAGTATATTGTTTTTATTTAACTAATTTAGAAAATTGATGAATTAGAAGATATTATTTGTTAATGTATGACTTAAACAAATAAGGATTAAGTAATTTTAAATCAATTAACTAATTTAATTAAAGATAAATAATTACATCTATAAGACATTAATATGGAAATTATGGAATAAGAATAGATTAATAAGCAAAATTAATAATTTATGAAAAGAAGAATGAAATAAGAAAAATAAAAATAATAAGAATTAGATGAAAAGATGTTATTAAAATAAAAGAAATAAGAATAGAAATAATTATTGAAAGAGAAGAATGCTAAAAATGAAGAACTATTGATGTTATAATTAATTGAAGAGAAATAAAGATTATAATATGAATTAGATGAATTAGTTAATGGTTAAGAATAGAAGGTTTAATAATTATTGAGTTAAATGGAAACTACAGTAATGGAAGAAGAAGAAGAAGATAAATCTGTTGTAACATCTGTAGTCTTTAGAGAAAGTTCAAATAAATCACATTATGAAAGAAGAGAAATTTAAGAATAACCAAAAAACAGAACATGTTGTGGAGAGTGTACTATTTTCTGATTAGTTAATGTATAATATAAATACTTTTATTATTAATAATAAATATTATTGATAACAGAACTATATATATATCTACACTAAATTTATTTAACTATAAATCTATATGAATAATAGTTTGTTTTGATTATGAAATAGAAATATAATACCTATTATTTAGATTTAACTATTCTAAATAAATTATTTTGTATTACAAATTGTATCAATTATATTATTTATATGCTTTAATCAACAGGTGAAACATCATAAACACAACCATCAATTAATTATGCGACTGTGAAATACTCATTCAAATGTGTTCGTCGTCATTTATTTAAAGATAAAGTCTACTATGTTCATGCTCTACCCAATATGATTACAATAGGTGAAGTATATAAAATAAACAATTATCTTAGCATATTAATGATCCCAATCCTAAATACAAATTAGAACTTAATTTGAAAAATATAATTTATTGGAAACAAGAACATGGTTAGAATCGTGCCTTTGGTATTAAATATAAGTAAGTTTTGAAAAATAATAATAAATTAGAAAGAATGTGAAGTACTTTGAAGCAACTCCAGAATAATTATAAAAGTTTAGACAAGAAATTAGTTGTTTAATTGGGTTCCATTCCCTTGATGATCATTATAAAATAGATGAACTTATAGGGAAAGGATCATTCTCTTCTGTTTATAAAATATATAGATAACATGATAAAAAAGTATTTGCCATGAAATATGTAACAAGTAAATAAAAGAATGATAAAGAAAATATGGTAAAAATACTTATATATAAATAGTAATTAGTAGAAAATGAAATTGGAATTCTTCACTCTTTCAATCATGATTCTATACTAAAAATTTATGAAGTATATAGAGTAGAAGAATATCATTATGGAATCATTGTTGAATATTTAGATGGAATAGCATTGTCTACATTAATTGAATAACTTAAAAAAAATTAATGCATCATAAAAGAATCAGATATAAAAACTATTCTTTAATCTTTATTAATAGCATTAGCTATTATACATTAAGAATAAGTTATTCATAGAGATATTAAACCATAAAATATAATGATTTCCTAATAACATAATTATCGTGTCAAAATTATTGATTTTGGACTTAGCATTAAGAATTAATTATAATATAATAGATGTGGAACTCCAGGTTATATGGCTCCAGAAATTGTTAACATGAGAAAAGATCAATAGAAAGCTTGGACATCTCTTTGTGATATTTTTAGTCTTGGAGTTGTATTCTTTAAATTGTACTGATATTATTCATTTTAATAGATTATCCAAAGGAATCAGTTGCTTTCAAGGTTAAACATCAGATTAAGTATTAGCAAATAATAAAAAATGTCAAATCGATTGGTCTATAGTTTTATAACATAATTATTCTAAAAATTGCATTGTAAACAAATCAATTTTATAATTAGTAACTATTAAAAGCTATGTTAGCAAAAGATCCTGAAGAAAGAATTACTGCATATTAAGCATTATAACATCCATTTTTTGGAGATGCCTTTTCAACCATATCTACTGACTATGTAGGACATTCAATCAGTCTAAAATCTAAATAAATTTTAAATCCAACACTTGAAAAACATAATTTAGATTCCTAAGAAAGTGTTGAAGAAAACTCTGTTTAAAAGTAATAAGTATACAACAGAGATATAAGACCATCTATTATAAGTAGAAGGTAATGATTATATTTTGTTTTTTTTCAAAAACAGACATTGTAGTTATCAATAATAATGCTTATTATACGCAAGAACTCTTAAAAAGTTATCTATTCATTAGGAAACAATGTAGGATCAATTTATTTGTCTGGCATTAGAACCTTAAAAGCTTTAATACATTCTTCTAATGAAAGATTTCCTTCTCCCTCTGCATCTAAACTATCAAAAGCCTTCTTTGCTAATTTCTAGACTTTTTCTTTCTCTAATTTATTCATTATAAAATTAATAATTAATTAAAAATATATCAAATTATTGGATATTTAATTAGACGCTTTAATTATTCTTCATTCATTTTTTTATTTTATTCAACAATAATTGTTTATTAAAAGAATCTTAAAAAATTCCATTCAATTGCTCCAAATTCAATATCATCATAAGCATTTTAATCTAAAAACCATGCAGCATATTTTATAATTTCATATTCCCCTAATAAATATTAGATGAATATAAAATACTATCATTTAATTATTCAAATTATAATTATTTCTTTTCCATATATTTTATAAACATTTATCCATGAGTATAATCTTTTTTCTAAAAATTATAAGTGCCTTCAGGATTATTTTACTTAAATTATTTTAAATGAAATTATGCTTGATATTCATGATTTAATTCTTAATAAATTCTACCTACTTTTAATTTCTAAATTATTTACTTAACATAAAAGAAGTCTCTTATAAATTTTTGTCAACTTATTCAATTGCTGTTTAAATTTCTTTTTTATACCAATGTATCATAGCCTTCATTATAGAAGTGATCTATTTTCTTTAAGCTCCCATTTCAGTAGAACAATCTATTAAAATAGCATGATTATAGGCTTCTAATGCTTTCTCAAATTCTAATAAAAAAAAATATAAATTTCCTATGTGAAAACTTACATAATGATTATTAAATTATGAACTCAAATTACTAGCCTTTAAATAACAATCTAAAGATTAATCAAACTAGAAACTTCTAAAATGAGATTAACCTTTTATAATAGACATAATATTATACCTTTGTAATAATATGATTTAGCCAATTTTGGATTAATACTTATTGCTGTATTAAAACATTCTAAGGCTTTAATATATTTTAACTCATTATAATAACATTATCCTGATTTTAAATCAAAGATTAACCTTAAAAATGCATAGCCTCAGAATCTTATGGGTTGTTTTAAAATAATTTTTAATATTAAATGGCTCCAAAAGTAGTCATACCATTTTATTTTATCACTAGAAAGGAATCGTTTAATGTCAAATTATAATTATTATAATTCTGCATTTCTTTAAGTATTTCAAAAGCCTCTGGAATTTTATTCATTTATAGTAAACAAACAACTTCTGTATATTTTAAGTTTTCTTTTATATATGTATCATCTTTTATTTTTTATATATATCCATATGCGTCCCAAAAATTACAATCTACCATTAATATAATGCCTATTATATTTTCATAATAATAACTTTAAAAAAAATGATTCCATCTATTATCAGGAAATGATAATATTAACTAATTACTAATTTAATTAACTTCCTGGTTCTTTTTTTACATTTTTAATATAAGGCCTATTATTGTTGAAATATAATATTATTATACCTTTCAAAACATATCCATAAATGACGTTTTCTCTAGTATTTATCAGCATCTCCGATTATTTCAAAGCTAATTCTAATTTCTTTCCTTTTATTAAGGTTAAACCTTAATAAAATATGATAAATACATTTGTAAATTTAGGCGATCTCATTCTATTTATTATTTTAAATGATTGTTTCAAATATTTCTTAGGCTTGATTGAAATGATGGCATTAAAGTAAGATTTTTCCTGATTTATTTTAATGATTATTTACCATAAGCTAAATTGTAAAGTAAATCCTTAGTTATCAAAGCAAGTTCTTAATATTTTTAAATAGCATTTTCAAAATCATTTATTTTTTCTAAAGCAAATCCTAATATATTTTAATAACATAATCACCTTCAAAAAAATTAATAAATAAATCATTATTACTCAAAGTATGATAAATGGCAAGATAATTTAAGGCTTCATCATATTTTTCAGTTAATATTAAATTAAGACTAAGATATATATAACATTCTGAAAGAATTTATTTATTTTGATTTGATTAACATAATTTTTCAAAGAATTCTATACTCTTATTATATTCTTTTATAAGATATAGATTTCTTCCTAATAAACATTCTACACTCCAAAGATCCATATTTATCTAATTTAATTGTTAAAGGCTTTATTAAAGAAAATATTTTTTATTTGTTAATTTTAACAAAGTTTAAGATAATTTATGTGCTTCTTTATATCTTTGAATTGAACATAATAATCTACCTTAATGATAAATTGATAAAATTTACATCTATCAAACATTTATATAATCAAATGGTCCATTTAAACCTGTTGGAATTAGTGAATAAATATTTGTTTAATATTTTCTATTTCTTATTCATTTATATACTAAGATTATTCACTAAGTTAATTTAAGATTTCATTTAAAGTAGTTTCTTCAATATTGTTTATATGAACATTTAATAGATTTATTGAAATTTATCGATTCATAAATTAAGATCTAATCTTTTATAATTGAGAATATTTGGATTTGATAAAGGCATCAAATTGTTACAAATTATTGAGTTTTAATTTTTCTTTTGCTTTATCTATCTTGTATATTACTTAATCTAAAAGTAAGAGAATATTATCAATTAATAGAAAATCTTCATTATGTTAATAATGGAGTTCAGCAAAACAAAGTTTACAACTCAAGTAATCATCTTTACATCTAAGACAAATACCAATAATTCCATTAATTTTATGATGTACTTTTTAACAAGAATCCATTGTAATTATTATTTATTAATTTAATGCATTATTCAATCGTTAATTGTAAAGACTTCTCAGAAGTGTCTATATTATATTCGAAGAATAGTGAAAGTAATGATTTGCAGTCAAATGAAAATCCGTAATCAATCAAATTTGAAAACTAGAGTACCAAAAGAGTAAAGAACTGAAGAAAATGATGAATTCATCCAAAAATTTTTAAACTATAAGGCTCACAATAAATAATTTGAATATAACAATTTACGTAGATTGGAAAATTGCAAATTGAAAATTTATAAGGAATCATCTTATTTTGGTTAGATAGCAAATGGAAAAAGAAATGGAAAAGGAGTTTTAATTTGTAATAATGGAAGAACTTATGAAGGACATTTTGAAAATGATAGAAAGCATGGTCAAGGATATGAATAGTTACCAGATAATTCGATCTATGAAGGAATGTATATTAATGGAAAACCAGAAGGAATGGGTAAATTTAATTGGGCAAATGGTGAAAGTTATGAAGGGAGTTGGTTAAATGGTTTAAAACATGGTTAAGGAATTTGGATAGGAGTGAATAAAGATTCTTATATTGGAGAATGGAAAATGGGAAGTCCTAATGGATATGGTGTATATGTTACAGTTAGTGGAGATAAGTATGAAGGAGAATTTCACAATAATCTAAAGCATGGATAAGGAATTGAATATTTATAGAATGGTGATATATATAAAGGATAGTATGCAAATGGAAAACCAGAGGGTTAAGGAGAATATTGGTGGAATTCAGGAAGCTATTATAATGGAACCTTTATGAATGGATTGAGACATGGTAAAGGAACTTGGATTAAAGATAATAATGCATAGTAATCTGATTGTTATGAGGGTGAATATGTAAATGATAAAAAATGCGGGTTTGGTATATATAGATGGGAAACGGGTAGTAGATATGAAGGTAATTTTTTTGAAGATTTGAGACATGGTTTTGGAAAGATGTTTTGGAATGATGGATCTTATTATAGTGGTATGTGGGAGAAAGGGAATCAAAGTGGAGAAGGAGAATATGTAAATTATTGGAATAAAATTAGTGTAAAAAAGGAGAATAGCCAAAATTTGGTATTTTCGAGAAAAATATACTTATAAAAGAAGATTTTGATAAAATAAGAAAATAAGCTCCATAAATTAGAATAAGATAATATACAAGTAAATATAAATGAATAATTATGTAGCAAGTTAAAGAAGTGTGAGAGCAAATAGTTATTAGTCTAATAATAACTATGTAAATAGTTAGATAAATTAAGTAATTTTGAGACCAACCAGTGTAAAATAAAAAACTTAAACAATTTAGACACAAAGCAAAAATGCATTTTAATCAAAGAAAAAAAGATAATTTTCATTATAAAAATAATCTATAGATTTTAACTTTTGAATAAATATATATTATTTGTAATTAATATTAAAATACAATAATATATAGTTTATATTATCAAATATTATACAAAAATAGTGATTTTATTATTTATTATATAGATATAAAAATCTGTTCAAAATTTTTCATCTCTTTTTTTTATTTGGACGAATTTCAATCTAAAATTATTTAAGGGTTTCTCCATTTGCATATAATTATACAGCCTTCATGGTTTGTTCAGAAATAAAGTAATGTCTTTTCTTTTAAGAAGTAGTAGACATAGATTTTTCATCTAAAGTTCTTTTACTTTTATTATTGGTAGATCTATTTTCTGAATTTAATTTTTAATCTTTTTATTCTTTTGCTGGAGGTAAATGAAAACTTGTTGCACTTTTAGTTTTAATAGGTTTATTTATTAATATTCTATCAGTTGGATTAGGTTGAACAATTTAGCTAATTTATTAACTATTTCTTTCTTCACCTAATTGCTTTTTCTTTTTATCAAATTCCTCTAAATAACTTTAATATTTAATACTGCTAGAATTCTCATTTTTTCATTTTAGATAGTAATTTCCATCTATTTTTTAGTTTCTTATAATTTTTAATATTCATTTTATTATTATTTTAATCTTCTATCTGTTTCTTCAAATTTCTAAAAATTGAAATATAAATAATTATATACATCTAATAAAATTGCATTTTTGTATTATTCTTTTCTTTTTTAAATTTAATAATTTTATGATGCATCTTCTAATT